GCTTGTCCCCCTTCCTACTCCGTCTTTGTCGATTGCGACAACAGCGAGGGAGCTAGATTCATTTACGCCAAATTAGACATGACCGTCTCCGACATCCTCTCCCCCATCGATGTCCCCTCTGTCGTCCAATCGTTCTTTGACCATGACAGGGCGGTCAACCACGACGGCCACACCTTACCTTTGTTGTCCGTTCAGGTCACTGAATTGACAGATGGCGTTTTCGTTGGCTGTTCCATGAACCATTGCCTCGCCGACGGCACTTCCTTTTGGAGATTCTTCAGGGCGTGGTCTGAAATCTTTCGAGCACAAGGTGATAACTATGGCAGCGACCATGTTTGCATTCCCATCTCACACCCACCGATCCACAATCGGTGGTTCCCGGAGGGTTGTGTTCCCCCAATCAATCTCCCCTTCAAACATCACGACGAGTTCATAAGCAGATTCGAAGCACCCCCTCTTAGGGAAAGAATATTCCATTTCACGGCCGAGTCTATTGCGAAACTGAAAGCAAAGGCCAACCAAGAGTCCAACACCACTGAAATATCGTCCTTCCAATCATTATCGGCACTCGTCTGGAGGTGCATAACACACGCGCGGAGTCCCTCCCGTGATCAGAGAACAATCTGCAGTGTGGCAGCAGATAACAGATCAAGAATGGAATCGCCTTTGCCAGAAGAGTATTTCGGGAACTCTGTCAGCACGGTGGCTGCGGAAACGACATCGGGGGAGTTGCTAGAGCACGAACTTGGATGAGCGGCGTGGAAGATACACGTGGCTGTCGCAAACCACAACGACAAAGCGGTGCGTGAGCTTATGAAGAAGTGGTTGGAGAGTCCGACGGTGTTTCAACCGGATCGGTTCTTTGACCCGTACGGCGTGATGATGGGTAGCTCACCCAGATTTTTCATGTATGGTAACGAATTCGGAATGGGGAAAGCGGTGGGTGTTCGCAGTGGTTATGCCAACATGTTTGATGGGAAAGTGATGTCATATCCGGGTCGTGAAGGAGGGGGAAGCATAGATTTGGAGATATGTCTTTCGCCGGCTACGATGACGGCACTGGAATCTGATGACGAGTTTGTGAATTCTGTGTCTCTGCAAAGTGTTTCGGCATTTGGGTCTGTTTGATGTTAAAAGACAGGCTTTCAAGTAATAGTGGCGGTTGGGTTCTATCTACTTGTGGACCATCTGTTAAAGCGTATGAAAACACTTATAACCACATTTTAATATTTTATACGAGTTGAGGTAAAACACCTCTAATATATTTATCTTATATTCTGTAAAACATGATTAAAAAGCTACTTATAAGTTATTATAAATAGGTTCTGTTTACACTTAATTAATTTTGTTGTAACCAATTTTTTTATCTGTATTTTTTATCTTTTAATAAATTGTTTTTTGATAAAACAAAATGTTAAAAGATTGATTTTTTTTCATTTAGTATTGCTAGCTCCTCATTATTAATCGATTTATTAATTGAATTTTCTTAAACAAATTATTAAGGATAAGGATGCTTAATTAGAAATTTTGGATGGGAAGAATGCTTTAGTAAATCAATCAAAAGATACACTTGTCATAGTTTACATGTGTCAGCACCTTTGCTCAGAAGTCAGAATGCGTTTTAGGAGTAATTAAGGTGCTTATATTTTGGTGTATTAGCAAAATAATCACACTCTTTACAGCTAGTAGCAATGATGCCGACATTGCTGTTTATACATTTGCTTGCGATCGATTCACAGCATCTATCCAAAGTTACACTCGTCATATTTTAATTAGAAAATTATATTGCTGTTATGGTTTGATATAAAAAATTCATAAAAGAAAACGATATGCACAAAGTGGGTTTAAATAGTCTAATGGGGTGTCACTTTTTCAACTCAAGAATCATCCGTTAAGGTGGCATAACCCACTATAGTATAAAATTTCAATTAATTAATCATTCTATGGAGAAATTAAATTTTTTCCCACCATCTCTAAATTATTATTTTAATTAATAAATAGTAGGTCAATCCTTGACGGTACAAAGCTGCTTTTTTTTTTTAATTTACTTTTTATTTCCCTAATTATATTCCTCTTCATTCCACAATCCTGGAGTTGAACATGAAATTAAAGTATGGTATATTCAATGACACGATAGGTGTGAATGATTTCATAAGCTTCATCGCATTAGTCACAGTCTGTCAGATTTACATGATTTTAATAAAGTTAAATTAGATCCATATACTTACACATTGGAAAAGCCTATGGAACCAGAAACATTACCGAGTTAAAACAACAAAGGGTTAATACAATTTTGGGTCCATCTAGTTTATCCTAATTTTAGTTTTGGTCTCTGAAATTTCTTTTCATCTAAAATATCAAACCCTATAATTTAAAAAAAATTTAGACCATTTTGCCTATTGAGGAACCAAAACCTATAATTTGAAATTTAAGGAATCAAAACCAAAATTAGGACAAATTTAAAAGACAAAAGACTATATTAATTAAAAAAAGCAATCACACCTCGTTTCACTTTTTTCAATCAATTTTTAATCAAATTGATTATGTTTTGATGGATAGTTAAACATGGTTGCCTTCTTAAGCTAACCGAATCAAATAATAAAGCTACTAATCAATTTTCTTGATCGAATAGATCAGATGTAGACCGATCAAGAAAATATTGCCTGTGAGTCCAACATGTTTGACCCTATATGTGTTGTCTTATGTAGTTGAATTTCACAGCAATTTAACGTATGCCCCACATTTGTTTGTCTTGTGTAACTGAATTTCCTAGCAATAATGTAACGAACATTTCCTTCCTCCCGAGACTCTTCACAAAGTCCTAAGTGAGAGAGCCTTTGCTCATTTCGAGGAATTTCATGTTAGAAAGTGGGCTCGGAATGTCTCCACTACAGCTTCTCTCCATTTTGCCTCCACCAAAAAGAAACGACGTCGTTCTTTTAAAAACCATGTTACTCGTTTGTTTATTTCGAAACTCAGTCTCTCAGCGTCCTACTCCAGCACGGGAAATCCATCCATCTCTTTGCTTCCAGAAAACACTATGCATCAGGCTCAGTGTGGGAAGAGATTGTTGAGGAAGGAGGAGCATTTGCAGGCTTTCATCACTAAGATTTTCTGGTTACCTCCTTTATTGTTTATTGTTTCTTTTTTTTTTTTTTTGTCTTTTAGTCTCTACATATGCTCATACAGACACACGTATATATCCCTTTTCTTTTTTCTTTTGTAATTTTTGTTGAATTTTATATGTATTGTCATGTTATTCTGGTGGCCATATGTATTTGTTCGCTCAATTTGTATCTTAGTTAATAAAAAACTCCATTTGAGTCAGTGTGTGAATTCCTCATTTATATATATATAGTTTGTCGTCATTTTTCTGAAATGATTATTTTTATTTGTTATAAAATGTATGAAATTTATAGTGTTTTATTATTTATTTCAGTTATTTACTCTGTTGTTGTTGTTTTTTTTAGGCATCTCTTTTTTCAATTTATCTTCTATCTTTAAGCAATGGATACAAATATGACTCACATCCTTGGTCTTGAATTTGATAATATAGAAGAGGCATGACAATATTGGGTTGGCTATGGTAGAAAGATTGGATTTGGTGTTAGAAAAGAAAACTCCAATAGGAGTAGGAAAGATGGTTCTGTCATATATTACAAATATGTTTGTAACAAGGAGGGAGTGAGAAAACCAGATAAAAGAGATTTTAAAACCAAGAACCCTCAACAAGAAACAAGAACAAGATGTGAAGTTAGAATGATAGTCAAAAAAGTGAATGGCAGATATAGAGTCACATAACTTTTCTTGGAGCATAATCATCTTTTGGAGACTTAGGAAACTGTTCATATGCTGGCATCACAAAGGAGATTACCGAAAGCACAAGGCTATGCTTTAGAAGTTGCAGAAGATGTTGGTATTAAGCAAAAAGCCTCTTTTAATTTAATGAGTAAATATGCAGGAGGGAGAGCTAATTTGGGGTTCACCCAAGATGATGTTAAGAGTTACCTAGCATCAAGGAGGCAATGAAAAATTGTTTATAGTGAAGCTAGGTGTCTACTTCGTTACTTTCAACGACAATTGGTAGAAAATCCTTCATTTTTTGATGCTTATCAAGTGGATTCAGAAGACTGAATAACTAATGTGTTTTGGACTAATGCACGTATGCTGATAGATTATGCTTGTTTTGGAGATGTCATTTCATTTGATACAACATATTCTACAAATCGTGACAATTAGACCACTTGCCGTTTTCTCAGGTTTCAATCATTATAGAGAAGTAGTTATATTTGGTGCTGCTTTATTGTATGATGAGACTATTGAGTCTTTTGAATAGCTTTTTGACATGTTGTTGGAAGCACATAAGAAAAAAAATGTAATTTACTATGTTTACTGACCAAGATGCTACAATGACATGAGCCTTAAAAGAATTAATGCCAAATGTAAAGCATGGCTTGTGCACATTCCATATCAACAGAAATGCAGCGAAACATCTTAGGAACCTAATGAAAGATGATTCTCATTTTTTGGGTAAGTTTAATTGGTGCATGTATCATTGTGAAAAAGAAACTGTTTGAGGAATCTTGGAAAGCATTATTATCAAAACACAATGTAGGAGATAATCCATGGTTAATGTCTATTTACGAGTTAAAAGAAAAATGGGCAGCATGTTATATGAAGGAATCAAAGACACTTGGTATGAGAAGCACACAACTCAGTGAAAGTATCAATGCATTCATTAAAAAAAAAAAAGAAGCACAAATCCTAAATTGGATATCAATAAATTCTTTGAAGTCTTTGAACAAGTTGTTGTGGATAAATGGTATAATGAGTTGATGAGTGATTTTAATTCACGATAAAAGCTGTTGAGATTGATTTTGAAAAGTTCAGCTATGCTTCAACAACTTTCTCAAGTTTATACTCCACCAATTTTTAACTTGTTTCAATAGAAATATGATTTACATGATGCTACATGTATAAAAGAGAGAAAAGTAAGAAAGATGAATGAATATGATGATGCTATCGTATTTGATTGTGTTATCAACAGGGTTGATGAGAAAGGAGAGTGGAGATTGACATTTAAGCCATCAAGAGAAGAAAATGAGGCTACAATTACTTGTAGTTGTAAGAAGTTTGAAAAATGGGGAATATTATGTTGTCATGCCTTGAGGATATTGTACGATCATGATGTCAAGTTGCTTCCACATAAATATATTTTAAAGAGGTGGACAAGACAAGCAAGGTGTGGTGTGGTGTATGATAACAAGGGAATGGAGATTGATGTTGATCCTAAGCTAGAATGCTCAAATCGATACAGGCAATTGTGTCCAATGCGTATAAAACTAGCCAGTGATGCATCTGAATGTCTAAAGACTTTCTTTATGGTTCAAAAAGCGGTGGAAAAACTTAGTAAGAAAGTGTTCGAACTTCTTATCAAGCAGTCATCAGATGCTGTTGATAGTGAATGTGGTGTTGATAGTGAATGATGACAAGAATGATGGTGAAGGCATTGGCTTTAAAAAGAGAGAAAGAAAAAAGATCAACAAAAGTTGGGTTGATGACCTTAATAAAAAGGAAAGAAAGGTCAAAATGTCAAGAAAACCTGCTAACAAGCCTTCAAAATGTTCAAAGGTATAAAATTTTAACATTGATTTTTTTTAAAGCACATGCCATTATGTTTTGTGTTGATGAGATTTTATTGTTGATGATGCAGGAAACCCAAAACATGTTGGAAGTAGTTAGCTCGTCAACTCCAGTGCAACATAATCTCCTTGTATCAATTATACTAGTGTCAAGGCAATATGGTCTCCCTCTCTCAAATGGACTAGTACTGGTGCAATATGACCCCCCTGTGTCATCTACACCATTGCCTGTGCACTATGGGCCCCTTATGTCAAATATATCAATGCTAATGCAATATGGTCTCCCTATACCAAATACTCTGGTATCTATGCAAGATGGTGTTCCTGTGCCAAATACACTGATGTAAATGCAATATGGCCTCCCAGTGTCAAATACAATAATTCCAATACAACATGATCTACCAATCTCAAATACACAAGAACCAAGTCAAATGCCTTTTACACCATTAATTATGGTGAGGCCACTTAAGTTCTTGATCATTTTATTTTAAATATATCATGTCATTGATATTTCTTTTTTTTTTTTATGCTTTTAGGCACCATTGGACTATGATGTGAATTCACTCGGAGCATCACAATCTAGTAACGTATTTACAAAAGATAAACCATATCATCACTTGAAATCATATTGAAAAAGAATACAATTTTATTCACATAAAGAAACTTCTATTGCAATAAAATTACATTACATTATCCACAGTGCATGAACAGTATTATAATATGTTATATATACAGGTTCACAAATGAACTTAGATCCTCCTCAATGATTTACCACAGTGTGTTGTGTTAGAACTGCAATATATGACATATTGAAAAGTTTTAGTATATTCATTTTATCTATCCCAATTCCAAAGAATACAGAACTCCCTTTGAAGTGAAATATAACAATACTCTTTATCCTGACAAAAAGCAAGAACAAAAATACTAATGCTTCATTTCGTTTCTTCTCTTGAGAAAAAAAAAAAAAAAGCCCAACAAGAGCATAATATTACTCAAATAAATGACCATCATAGTAACCTTTGAAAAAAAAAGTTATTTTACTTTGATCAGTTTGTCCTCTTCCTCTGTTATTATTCATCCATTGATTGTCCAAATGCCATTTGTTCCAAGTTCAAACATTTCATTTTGAATGAGACAACACTTTACAGACCATTTAATATCCTATACTTTAACATTCCTTCATAAATGGAAGTTTATCAATTGATCAAAAAAATTGAAATTTTATCAATATTGTTTATGTGCTTAGCCAGTTTGATTTTTGATGATATCGGTTATTTAGAAATGGGTTTTACTACTACAATCCAAATTCTGCACTTTGATAGCAGGAAGCTGAATTTACAGGGAGAGGTCTTTCAAAGAAAATTTGTAAAGCTGTATTTACAGATTTAAATCTAAAAACAATATTTCATGAACCTAAGATAAGTTGAGGTCCATCACCTCCACTAACATTGTACAATTCTAAAAAACCATCAAATAGTAAAGAAATAACATGTATATATCTATTTTTTTTTATGCTTACCCATGAACATACGGTCTGGTGGAAATCGAACCATACTATCAATATGAAATTAATGGCTTAAAATATTCTCACATGGCAATTAGTAATTAAACTGAGTGAATGATAAAGAGTGTTAAACTCAGATTTCAAAACCCAGAAGCCAAAAAATTATTCTCATATGGCAATTAGTAACCAAACCTGAGTGAATGATAAAGGGTGTTAAACTCATATTTCAAAACCCATAAGCCAAACTCTGTTGAGTGTTTGCAAAAGCTGATCTCTAATGCAGATTCCAAACCCATAAGCCAAAGTCTGCTGATGTTTGCGCATGCTGATTTGCAAAGTTCTGGATGATGATCAAAGATTAAGACGCTGAAGAAAGCCTTCAAATATTCAAAACTCTTTGTCGAGGGTGAAGGCTGACGATAAATCTTGATGTTCACAGTTGAAAACACTGAAGATGAACATCCATAGAGTGGCAAAATGGCAGAGGCATGGAGAGGGCAGAGTCTCTTCTCTCCAGGTTACCCAGCAACAGCCCAGATTAAACTTCAAAATCAATTATTGAGACTTTGTTTTTTTTTAAGAGAATGACATCGTTTCTTTAGTAGAGGCAAAATGGAGAGGAGTTGTAGTGGAGAGGTTCGGAGCCCGTTAGAAAGTACCCCCACTTGCCCCCATGTTATTGGAGACAAATAGACTACACATGTCCTCGTCCTCGTGTGTATTTGGATTAGCGGCAGCAGAAGTAATTTTTTCTCAATTGGACTTTTACAGAAGTCAGATTGGGTAAAAATCAAATAGTGTAATGTGATTTATGTTTGGATTGAGTTTGGTAACAAAATAGTTTGAGAAGTTGAAATATGTTTGGATGATTAGTTAAAAAGTAAATTTAGATGCAAAATGACTTAAAAGGACATGAATTTTATGAAGTAATACTCTTCTGGTTCTTAATATAAGACCTAATTATTAAGTTAATTTTGGTCCTAAATATAAGTCCTATTTCTTATATTTGTCAGTTTTTCCTAAATTACCCCTATGGATACTCCATCAACCATAATCAAGTGGGTGAGAGAGGGAGGATATTAAGAAAGATGATTATAATGTTTTAGAAAAAGTAGTTCATATTTTTTATAATTAACTAACTTACCTAACTTCTTTAATCTAATCAAATTAGTTAAATATGTGTTATACTACAGGCCGGAGGAGTACATATCTAATATTATATGTATATAATGTGACCATTTTAAAAGAAGCATTAAAAATAAAATTATTAAAAATAAAGGAATTAAATTTATTATTAGGAAGACATCTCTGTTCTTTCTTTTTTTCAGATTTTTTTAGCCCCAAATGAGAGAAAATATGCATACAAGAGAGGGTCAGGGTGCGAAGTGGGTATGCCAACATGTCTGATGGGAACGTGATTTCGTATCCGGGTCGTGAAGGAGGGGGAAGCATAGATTTGGAGATGGGGCTTCCGCTAGGCATTGATGACAGTGCTGGAATCCGATGATGAGTTTGTGAATTATGTGTCTCTGCAAAGTGTTTTGGCATTTTGATCTGTTTGATGTTAAAAGACAAGATTTCAAGTAACAGTGTTCAATAAACCATTGTTCAGTAGGTTTATTCAATGTTGATGTTAAAGGATTTACATGGGATCGGGTTCTGTCTACTGATAGTTTGTACTTTACTTGCGTAAGTTTTCTGTGACAGAAAATTTTGTCTGTATTTTTTTTATCTTTTAATAAATTGTATTTTAATAAAAAAATGTTAAAAGATTGATTTTTTTTCATTTAATGTTGCTAGCCCCTCATTATTAATCAATAAAGATTTCATTTATTTAAATTATATCAATATTTTAATACTTTTTATCATATATTGTTCCTTTTAATTTATATTTAATTTAATTTAATTTAAGTATCTTGCCTTACTTTATTTTTAGATTCACCTCAAAATTTAAAATTTGATAAAAGTTCCTATATATTATGAATATTGCATGAGTGGATGTCCATAACCCCTAACCCTTAGAATTCTCATAAGATTCCTTACCTTCAAGTGTCATAAATTACATACTTTCCTAATGAATGACTTGGGAGGAGTTTCTTATTGTTAATGCCATTATGATATTCTTTATTCATTTGTAACCTTAGTGTAGGATTTCAATGCTTGGATGCCTATAAATAGAGGGCATATATAAGGCATTTGTACCATAGAACAAAGTGAATGAGAAAAAGGCCATTGTCTTCTCTATCCCTTGCTTCCTTTTCTATTCTCTAGTCTCCTTATTTATTGTAGTTTTACGATACGTTATCAGGACAACCTTGCTCTGAAAATTTGAGATATAAACCCTTGTAAGATGATGTATTCTGCTTATTGTCTAATTATCTCCTTACTCAATCATCATCATATATATCTATGTATTGACTACATATTAACTTTATATTATCTCCTTTCTTAATTATCATGTTTTATATAATGTTATTCTATTGTTCTTTTCTTTACATTTTAATTTTGTCATTATGTTATATATATTTTTTATTTTATGTTAACATTATGTTATTTTATTTTTCTCCTTTTTGTGCTTTATATCATGTTAACATTCTGTTTTTATTTTAAGTCATTTTATTTTGTTGTCAAATCTCCATTTGGTATCTATGGTGTTTTATATTATTTTATCTGTGTTGTACTAACTCTCATATACGTACATATATATATATAATTTATACTGTCTCATGTTATTTTATCTATATTGTACTAACTCTCATATACATATATAATTTATACTATTTATATTTTCTTTTCTCTCATAATATTTGTTTGTATTTATTTATGTTGTTCATATATGTTGTTTATATAATTTATTTATAATAATGCCTAATAATATTATATGTGATTATATAATGTAATTTATATAATTATAGCTTTATTTATCATTTATAATTTTATATTTATTTTGTTTATTTCACTATAGCGTTATCTTTCTTTTTAATTTAAATTGTTATTATATAATAGTTAGTCTATTGTAATATTTATATATTTATTTATATTACTGCTTCTCCCCCTTCCTCTATATATACTTATGTACATTGTCCCTATATTATGTATTGTAACTAACTATTTGTGTTGTTTATCTTTCCCTTTTTTTTTATTCTCATATATGTTTATTTGTTATTGTTTATTTATTTATTTATTTTTGTTTATAATTTCAAAGGAATAATTTATTTATGGGTGACTTTTGAATCTTAATATTTTATTTATTATGTTTCAGTGTGCATCAATTTTATTATAATTCTAATTTTTGTTATGATCATTTTAGTTTGATCCATGGCCAATCTTACCAAACTCG